CAGGGCGACTGAGGAGTTAGGGAGCGTCTGCTAAGTCCGTGTACGCCGGGAACCGCAAAGCAGGGAGCCGGCCTGCCCGACAGGCACGAGTCCCAGGCCTGGGGCTGCACGAGGCGTCGCTGTCGCCCATGGGTCTGCCTAGGCTCCCAGTCCGAATTCAAGCTCTTGAGCTGCTCCCGGCACTCGATCTGAATTCGCACGCTCCATCGGAAATCAGGTGGCCAGATGGTTTCAACAAAAATACCAGACACCCTTGACATGACAGCACAATCTACACGACATCATATTTAGCAACTACCGGACATGTATATATGCTCGCTTATAGTATCTCCATTTGTTTCCGCAACAGAAAGCACAAATGCTGGACTGTCCGGTTCAAAACCCGACACCTGGCAACCCTAAGGCTGTGGAAATCAGGTGGCCAGATGGTTTCAACAAAAATACCAGACACCCTTGACATGACAGCACAATCTACACGACATCATATTTAGCAACTACCGGACATGTATATATGCTCGCTTATAGTATCTCCATTTGTTTCCGCAACAGAAAGCACAAATGCTGGACTGTCCGGTTCAAAACCCGACACCTGGCAACCCTAAGGCTGTGTCTACACTGGGCCACTTATTCCGGAAAATCAGCCGCTTTTCCGGAATAAGCTGCGAGCTGTCTACACTGGCCCTTGAATTTCCGGAAAAGCAACGATGCTCTACTGTACAAAATCAGCCGCTATTCCGGAAAAACTATTCTGCTCCCACTCGGGCATAAGTCCTTATTCCGGAACACTGTTCCGGAAAAGGGCCAGTGTAGACACTGTTCCAGAAAAGGGCCAGTGTAGACAGCCCAGTAGTCTTTTCCGGAAAAGCGTGTCTACATTGGCCACAGATGCTTTTCCGGAAAAGGGGCTTTTCCGGAAAAGCAGCCTGCCAATGTAGACGCTCTTTTTCCGGAAATACTTATAACGAAAACTATTCTGTTTTAAGCATTTCAGGAAATTCATGCCAGTGTAGACACAGCCCCCATGTGCATTCTTAAATTGAGCCTGGGTGCAAATTCAAGGTCTCGCTCAGAGCCTGCTGTTCCCACTGCTACAAAAGTCAGCCATCTGTACAACCCTCCTCACCTCAAAAGCTGGGTGGGAGTGCACCCTGACTACAGGCATTGAGAGTTGGGAACACAGGCCATCGGGATCCCTCTGAAGCCGGTGATTATCAGCTCACTCCCATTAACCTGCCCCTCTGGCGGGAGCATAGCCTGGCTGGTAATGTCGCCACGTTGCAGTATATACCCGTGTGATGGCGCGTTGGGGTTTTCCCGTCTCCTGCACCCCCGTAGTGGCACGAACAGACTCCACCAGCCAGTAGAATAGAGGGAGTTTATTGCTTCTCCAGGATACAGCACAGCACAGATGGAATCTGGTTACAGGAATGGGGGCTAGGAGGCCTCAGTGCCCCCCCTTGAGATGGAGGTGGCTGAGCCCTACAATCCCAGCCCCCTCCCTAGCTCCTTCTTCCTTGCTTCCCAGACAGAAACTAAAGACCGTCCCTTGAAGCCCTGCCCCCCCAGCCAGGGCGACATTCCATCTTCCTTTGTTCCTCTCCCTGGGGGGTAACTGGTGGAACAGGTTACCTCCCTGTCCCATCAGCTACTCAGCTGGGCCATGGTACAGACAGTAACCAGTGTGGGTTACTCACAGCCCAAGCCTAGCAACCAGCAAGGTACCCACACTACGTCACAACCTGCATCTAACCCATCTCATTGTGTGCTGGCAGTCCATATAGGTTCCCATCAGTGTTTTAGATAAGAACCAGTCCTCGGTGGGCTACTCTGGTTTCCCCACTACAGTTCTCCCTGTTCCTTTCAGGAGAAAACACCAGAGGCCTCCTTCTGCAGCTGAAAGGTGGGGTGTCACAAAGGTACTGAATGCTTCTGGAAGCCCATGGTGGATGCTGGACAGCCTCATCCAGCTGCTCCTGTCATAAACACATCATTGCTGTTTATTCTTTCAGATCAGTCTCTAATCACATCCAAAAGAGGTCACTGTCAAATCCAGTTCTTTAGCCCCTTTGAGTCCTTCCTCTGTAATACCTGAGCTCAGGGAACATGCACTGGTACTGGGTGGTCAGCCCACGGCTCTCGAACCGCATGCGACTCTTTCCTCAAAGAAATGTGGCTCTTGATAGTTTGGAGCCGCATGCCCAGAACTGCTCATGGCCGCTCTGCATATGCATCCCTGTGCCTGCGGGGAGAAGCGTGTAGCGGTGGCAGTGGCTTCTAAGCTTGCCAGATGCTTTCACCAAAAATCCCAAACATGGCAAAAGAAAAAAGAAAAAAGAAAAAACCTGGGAGACCAAACTTGTTGAGCAAAAAAAATGGGAGACCAAACAGGAGAAGATTGTCCCCACCAGCCCTTCCGTACGAGAGAAACACATTTTTCGGCATGGGGGTGCCTGGCTCTGGGGGATGGATGGATGCATTGAGTTAGAGCAGGGGGGCTGAAGCACCTTAAACTCAAAGTCTTCATGGATGCAGAATAAGGCAGCCAACGCAGATGTCATATTTAAATTTCAGGGCAAAAATGAATCAGCATGTACCTGGTTTACACTGTGTTTCTTTAAAGAAAATTCAAAGGCTATTGTTTGCCAAGCTGAAGGAATTATTCAGAGATATGAGTTTCTACCTTATTGTTTTTTAACCTGTCATATTTGCAGTCTGGCACAGACCTGAATTTTTAGAACTATAAAAAAAACCATAATCTTTATAAGTAAAAAAAAGGAGGAAACTATACCAGAGATCAATAAGCTGGAGTGAAACAGATACTTCAAATTATGCTAATTTACTTCTCAGTTCAGTTTAATTTTAAGAAACTCACAGGACATAACAGGGCAGTAATGTTATGTTTAAAATACATAGTGGGGATGCTTATTTTTAGTGTGAGAATATTACTGCATTTTCAAAGGGTTTTTTTAAATTTCATGTTTATGCCTTGTCAAGTTCTCTGAAAATCTATGGCCTGGTCATGAATTTTTTAAGTGACTAGAGACTGGAGACTCTATCTAGCTCTTTTTTGAACCTTGTTAAAGTTCTAGTCTTCACTGCATCCTCTGGCAAGGAGTTCCACAGGTTGATTGTGTGCCGAGTGAAGAAAAACTTCCTTTTGTTTGTTTTAAACCTGCTGCCTATTAATTTCATTTGGTGACCCCTAGTTCTCATATTGTGGGAATAAATAAATAACTTTTCCTTAGTCACTTTTTCCATACCAGTCATGATTTTATAGAACTCTATCATATCCCTCCTTAGTCTCCTCTTTTCTAAGATGCAAAGTCCAAGTCTTTTTAATCTCTCTTCATATAGGACCTGTTCCAACCCCTAATCATTGTTGTTGCCCTTTTCTGAACCTTTTCCAATGCCAATATATCTTTTTGAGATGAAGCGACCAGACCTGTGCACAGTATTCAAGATGTGGGCATACTGTAGTTTTATATAGAGGCAATAAGATATTTTCGGTCTTATTCTCTATCCCTTTTTTAATGACTCCTGACATTCTATTTGCTTTTTTGACAGCCACTGCACACTGAGTGAATGCACAGTAACCCCAAGATCTCTCTCTTGAGTAGTTGTAGCCAAATTAGTCCCTACCATATTATATATATAGTCAGGACTATTTTTTCCAATGTGCATTACTTTACATTTATCAGCCTCTTGGATGGATGCACCCATGAAGAGCTGTTCTGGGAACTGTCCGTTCTGTACTTCCTTCCCATGGTGTCATACACTATGGCTACGGCTACATTGGCATGATCTTGTGCAAAAACTCTTCCAGAAGAGAGCATCTACACTGGCGTGCTTTTGTGCAAGAGCATCCGTGCCAGTGTAGATGCTCTCTTGCGCAAGAAAGCTCTGATGTTTCTTGCGCAAGAAATTCATGTTGCCTGTCTACACTGGCCTCTTGCGCAAGAACAGTTGCGCAAGAGGGCTTCTTCCTGAGCTGGAGCATCATAGTTCTTACACAAGAAGCACTGATTTCATACATTAGAATGTCAGTGTACTTGTGCAAGAACTCGTGGCCAGTGTAGACAGGCAGCAAGTTTTTGCGCAGAAGCAGCCGCTTTTGTGCAAGATCGCGCCAATATAGACACAGCCCTGTACCCATCTGACCCTAAAATTGGAGGTCCTAATCCTGGCCCTCTTTCTGTGCCGAACTCACTCATCCAACTTGGGCTTCCAGGAGCATTCAGTACCTTTGTGACATCCCATCTTTTAGCAGCAGAAGCATTTTTCTCCAATTTTGTTTCTGTCAGAATCATAGAATACTAGGACTGGAAGGGACCG